CGATTCCAGCCTGTGGCACAGAGAAAGGAGATTGTGTTATTGCCTGTTAGCATTTGTCCTTTTCACTGCATAGCATTTCTTATCACGCCTTGGATTGTGGCTGGTGTCCTTCGCTTGCTGGCCACAGCCCTGGCTAGAGCTGTTCCCCTAGCAACAACCTGTATTGGGTTATTTTCCTTACTTTGCCCCAAAGCATTTTTTATGACTTAAATGAAATCACGGACTCTGTCTGTGTGTTTTCTTTCTTGCTTGTGGTGCCAGGAATGCGGAAGTCAGCAGGTGATGAACTCCTCAGCCCGGGGCTCAGAAGCAGTGGGGTATTTATGAACATCACATGCTTGTCTGTTCACTGTGTACTTTCCACCAGCCAGATTCCAACAGGGAGTTTCCTGGGGGGGTTGTGACTGTGGAGATGTGATGTTTGTGTCGTCGCTGTCTGCATCGTTTCTCTCACAATGTGCTTCCGTCTCTGCTTGGATCACTGGTCCCCATGTGCTTCCATTGATTGGCTCAGTGACCGCCATTTTCCATCTATGAGGAGCTGAATCTCTCTCAGAGAAAATGTTTGAACCACGTAAGGTATTGAATTGTTACGAGTGGTTTCAAATGCCCTCTGTGACAATTTCGTCAGCCCGGAGGGGGCTACACTGAAGTCCTGCTACGGTCGGTGAGACCACTCACATGAGTAGTTAGGTGCATGCTGATGTGTTACAGAATCAAGGCCTTGTTTTGGTTCTGTCAGCCTGGCACAGAACTCACCTAAACAGATTATGTTAAAAGGTGTGCATACTCACTTGTTTCTGGTAAAAAACTTCCAGGCAAATGATTCGTCTTCTGTATTTAGAGCATCCCTGCAGCTCCGTACAAGAGCTGGCGGAACTGCTGTTTTCTTCACTAAGGGAACGTCTACATAGTAGCGTTATTTCGGAATAACTGATGTTATTCTGAAATAACGAAGAGTGCGTCTACACTGCAAGCCATTATTTCGAAATACAGGAGTTGGAACTCCTGTAACCCTCATTTTACGAGGAGTAAGGGAAGCCGGAGGAAGAGTGCCCTTTCTTTGACTTCCTGCTTGTAGACAGCACCAAAAGCCGAATTAAACTATTTCGGCTTAAGCTACACAATTGATGTAGTTCAAGTTGCGTAGCTTAATTTGAGTTTTGCCCTGCCCTGAGAGTTTTGATAGGAGCAGGGGGTGTTACTGGAGCCAAGAAATGTTTTTTACAGCATGATTAGCCCATGCAGGAAAGAGTCGGGGGGTTTTCACTGCCATGATGGTCCTTTTCATGTTTACATCTCCTGCTACACTTGAATCATGTAGTGGCCCTACTTTTAGTCCCCACTTACTGCCCTTTCCTGGCGTGTGTCTGTTACTTCATCACACGTTCCAACCCCCGTACACTCAGACCTACTTGCTGCTTTATACATTTAATATTCACAGTCTTCTTGTTGCAGGTGGAAGGTTCTTTAGTGGGAAATGCTCCAGCTTGACAGGAGCACATCAGTTTCCTATGATCCAGAAGATGGTGGAGTCCATGGCCCAGCTACAGGAGGAGAAGCTCCAGCTGCAGGAAGAGCTGTTGGCACTGCAGGAGAAACTTTCTGCCCGGGAGAATGAAGAAGTAGCTGTGTCTGTCCAGCTGCAGGATCAGGTATGCACAAGCTGTGGGAGGAAGAACGCTGCGAAAAAACAGAGACATTTTTAAGGGTTCATATCCCAAAAGGTGTTAGGCTCCTAGCTTCCACCGATTTCAAAGTGAAATAAGTGCCAAAATGCCTTTGAGGATCTCAGCCGAAGTGTTTAGGCCAGTATTATAACTGACGTGACAATTGCCATGTTTCAAGTGTTCTTTGTTCTCACACTAATTCCTCTCAGAACTATTCTGCTGCAAAGAAGTACATTTGTAGAGCAGCTATTTTGAAGTGGTTCTTATCAGCCTCTTGTAACTTTTTTAGTCTTTGAGGTGCTACTAGACTAATTGTTGTTAAGTTTTTCCTGTTACAGACTCACTGGGCTACTCCTCTGAAGCTTATCTCTCACTGTCTTTTTTTCTTCCTCCCCTTCAATTTCCCCCCCTCCCTTTCCCTTCCTTTCTTCCCCTCCCCCCATTATTTATTCTTGGATCTGGACTTCCAACACTCTGGTCATCTGAAGAAGTGGGCTGTGCCCACAAAAGCTCATAATCCATCGACATGGTTTGTTAGTCTTTAAAGTGCTACCAGACCAGTTGTTGTTTTTTAAGTTTTTCCTGTTACAGACTAACTCGGCTACCCTCTGAAGCTTTTGATACACAATGTATTGTGCTCCCTCTGTTGGTTCTGCAGCAGTAGTCAACTCATGGGTCTAGTGCAGGAGGCGTGAAGGAAGATTCCTGGTGTGGGAGGTGCTCCTGCGGGGGGGCACAGTAAAAAATTGTGACTCAGAAAGGGGGCTCAGTTCAGAATGTTTGAAAAATCACTGATCTAGTGGTGAGGGCAGGCTGTTTGGAATGTGGGCTTTGTGTTCATTCACAGGTCTGCCTCTGAACTAGAGTCCAAACAGCTGTGTGCCTCAGTTTCCCTCTCTGATCTCCTACTGAATTAGTTTTGTGGCATTTCAAAAAGAGCTTGTTAAGCACCAAGTATTGCTGCTTAGCAAAACCTACTTCCAGAGCTAGGCTGTGATTGTCCATTACACCAAGTGCACAAAGGGCACAGCATGGTAGGTTTGTTGGATGAAACAAGCAAGTAATTCTAGTGTCACTCAAAAGGCAGGGAGTAAAAAATATGTTTAAAAATCAGTTTCCCAGCTGGGGAGAAAGCTGATAAGAGAACAGGTATGTGGGAGGGTGGGTACAGAGGAGTGGTGCAAGAAGTACCAAGACATTCTTTGGTTTCTAAGATATAGCAACATTTATTAAAATAATTATCTGGTTGTTTGTCACAATGTAGCAAGATTATGTGACACTGGTAACCACCTCTGCCCCGAACCTTAAGGGAGGTTGGTGTATAACTCTAGATGCGGCTATGATTTGATTCTGCTCTTAATTACAGTGGTGTAAACTCAGCCAAATAATTGTATTGCATGCAGTTGTGTTACTGTGATGACACCAGCGTGTGTAGGTTAACGCAGAATCTGGCCCTATACCAGCAAACAGAGAGAGAGTGACATTGTACACTGGAGGCAGGCAACTCTGCTAGGGAAAAACAACTAGTTAGCATATGGAAAGGGAAACATTCTTTAGCAAGATTTTAAAGGCTAATAGACACAAAGACCACACCTAAGTGCCAGACATAGCTAAGAAAACCAGTTGTCATCTCTAGCAACTGTGATCAGGCTGGAGATACAACCAGTGAGAGCTAGCCAGACAAGCAACCAGGCTCCACCTATTTTGCCAGGGAGGGGTAGGTCTCCAGGTGAAGTGATTCAGTGTCTCCTTTTGCTGTCTTCACCTGAGGAAGAGAGATGAGTTGGTATACTCTAATTTAACACTGTGAGTTTTTTGCTAATGAATTTAGGGGCTAAACTAATGCTGATGTTAAATGTCCTGATAATCACTCTTTCTGGGTGCTGTTTGTGAATGTTTGTCTGTGAATTCTGTAAATGCTCATTGTAAAGACATTTCAGGACCCATTTAGGTTACCACTGAAGCTGGAAGGGTCTGAAGTGCATAAAGCCATTCATAGATAGATTGCAATGGGTAATGCAGACTTGATTGTGATAGGTTTTTACCTTTGTTTCCCCACTATAAGAACCAACTATTGTAAGTGTCCAGAAGTTTTTACTCTTTTCAGGGACATGCTACTAAAGTTGTTGCTTTGAAAGTGTAAAATTTCAAGATTAAAGGGAAGTTAAATATATTCAGATCTAAGTTATGGATATGAATAGATTAAGTGATTTAAAAAACCCACTATCCATTATATACATCCTTTGTATTTGTATTTTTCTCAGGTTGGGCAATGAAAATAGATTAATCCGTTTCAACTTTTTTTCTTTTTCTTTTTCTTTTTAACTTCATTTTCTGGTTCTCATGAAGTTGCATAGTGCTGCAGTATTTGGGGACTACCATGTTTAAAAATCAGACTCCTAATTCTAGTGACCTTTGGTTTTGTGGAAACCTATCTTTATAAAAACCTATTTTTAGGCAATATATCATCTGTCAGTGTGGCATCTCAGAGAATATGGTAATACCATATGTTTAAGTATTAGTTCTAATTTCTCCTCATTAGTTGGGTGTAACTTAATTGAGCTGAATTAATTGTAGCATCATGTAAATATGTATTTGTTATAAGTCAGCAGTTCTAAACTGTGATTTACAGATCACGGTAGGTCTGCAGAGAGCTAGCTGTTCACATGGCAATAGCGCCTTCTCTTTGTTTTCAGCTGTTAAATGCTATTAAAAGAAGCTGAAGTATGTGAATAGCCCTGCCAACATTTCTTTTCCTTGCACTTGACTGCTGTGGCTGCCACAGGGATGTTGCATGATCACAGATGGGCGGGAAAGAACTAATGAGAGTGTCTTTCTGCTAAGATCTAGTTCACTCTATAGTAGCGAGATCCCTTGCAACAAGTTACAAAATAAATATTGGCATTAATTGTTATGGGAGCCAAACCATTTAGAGTAAGTCCAGCTGTCTGGTGGGATCCATTGCTAGCACAGGGGACTTTCCGACCTCCACATGCCCACGTTAGCTCCTGTTTTAGAATGTGTCTAGGGTAGGTAACGGGTCTCCCCAAGAGAGGGAAGGAATGTGGTTGGAGAGCAGAGGGAGGCATGGAAAGCAAAAGATTTGTTAGACCCCCTTGAGATTGCCCCCTGCTTTGGTCAAAGCTGAGCACTTTTCAGCTACTACAGGACCAATCTTCATCCTGCATTGAGCACTAAGAGGGGGGACGGAGGAAACAGAATTGGGGTCTTGCTAGGGAGAAGTGCACACTCCCAGATCTTTGTGTTTAAAAACCTTTCTTCTACACCAATCAAAGAGGGAGCCAGAATGTAAATTGAGGAGAAGTCTAATGTGTTTGTGGTGCAAGGGAGAGAGGGGAAGGTTGCCAAGCAGTTCTGGAGTGGTATCAAGAGCATTCTACTCACCTCAGGGCAGCTGCACTGAGAAGCAGGTCGCAAATCCCGAACTGGCTGTGAGTTCTATACTTAGTTTTCACCTATCGAGCACAAACGTCTCCGACAATGTAGCAGCCTGCCTCAGGAGTCACAGATAGTTCCCTTGGGTACTCTGATCTGTCTAGCAAGCTTGCTCTTGAGTTAGATGAGGTTCTACACCAAAAGTTACTATGATAGTCAGGTTACTCCCAGATCCAAAGGACCAGTTGCATAACCAGGTCTATGGCATCTTAGATCTCACACAAAGCTTGTGAGCCAATCCTGTCAAGCTCTCTAAAGGTTTTTTAACTAGGAAAGGAAATGAGTTTTTATAAGGTTAAAGCAGGTAAACGTACACAAACTCTACGTCTACACTGGCGCATTCTCACGCAAAAACTCTTTTGCGGAAGAGTTCTGCAAAAACTCTTCCAGAAGAGAGCGTCTACACTGGCATGTGCCTTTGCGCAAGAGATGTGCTTTTGCGCAAGAGCATCCATGCCAGTGTAGACGCTCTCTTGCGCAAGAAAGCTCTGATGGCCATTTTAACCAGAGGGCTTTCTTGCGCAAGAAATTCATGTTGCCTGTCTACACTGGCCTCTTGCGAAAGAAGCACTGATTTCATACATTAGAACGTCAGTGTACTTGCGCAAGAACTTGCGGCCAGTGTAGACAGACAGCAAATTTTGGCGCAAAAGCGGCTGCTTTTGTGCAGGATCGCGCCAATGTAGACACAGCCTAAAGGTAATAGAGATTGTATAACAATCAAGCTCTTATGTGTCCTTTAGGGCTAAGCAGCTGGGGGACCCCTTGCTTATGCCTTGAACTCTTGCCCTCTAGACTAGTCTAAGCAGCATAGAGACACAATTTCTCCTTGGAAGGGATTTTTGAGCTGCCAGCTCACCTGATGGGAGGAACCCACTTTCTTGTCTCCTCTTCATGGGAGGTGGGTTTGGGGGGTGAACAATCACCAAGTCTTTTATCTTCTTTGATGCTTCACAATAGTCTGCCTCGTGTTGATGGGCCTTCTCTGGGACAGGACATAACACCTATTGTTGTAGGCCGGCATTAGACACTAATTCATGTCTCTCTTCAATCTGGTGCCTTACATAAATGCAAAGGCTTACAGTGCAACTGCTCAGATGTTACCTCACCTTACAGACTTCTATCTACTTTCTCGCTGTGGTAGATTATCCATGGCACACAGAATGAAACTGGTGTGTTATACACAGAGAAAATATTTGTTGACTTCTGTATAGAAGAGTCCTGCTATAAAAGTTTTAGGAATTTAAAAACCATTGCTTGCAAAAAAAAATGAATAGACCTTTTCCTAAACAAAAAAGCAGAAAGTGCCAGAAGGTGGGAATGGGGACAGAAGTTGGCTCACTTGATGATTCTCTGTTCTGTTCACTTCCTCTGGGGCACCTGGCATTGGCCACTGTCAATGGATGATCGGACCTTTGGTCTGACCCAATCTGGCCGTTCTTATGATCCAGAAAAGCAAAGGAGGAGGGGGGCGATTTGATCTCTGAACACAGTCGGGGTGGACGATCTCTCCAATGAGACCCAATGTTTTTTATCCACTGAAGTTTCTCCCAAGATTTGGTGATAGAATGGAACACGCTCTGTCAAAATGGTCATGCGATAGAGATGGTTACCTGAAAAACAAATCTTTTAAAATGTTTAATCCTCACACATGAGGAAGTATCCCATACAGAGATGCATGGAATGAATATTTGGTGTGGGTAGCTTTCAAATGGTTCTCTATAGTCACGTTAGCTGAAACAAAGAGTATTGCTTGTGTCACGATGAATGTAGCATCTCATGCAACGTGGGGCTTGCTGGTATGGTAAATTATCTCCTCAGGGCCAGCGTCCTTCCAGTGTAGTCTTGGACACCGCTTTCCTACAGGCCAGGAGAAGTGGGGAGAGAGGGGCCTGCAATTCCTAGCTACCTGGTCTATCAATTTGGCTCTGTGTGGCTGGTAGGAAATGTAGGACTTTTGCCTGAGGCTAAGTATTGCAGATTCAGATGAGGAAGCGTGTAACTTGAGCCTGTATGTGTTGGGAGGAGGCGTTTGTGGTCAAAATAAAAAATGGACCAGCCTAGTCAATTGGTGCCTGTGTTGACAGGTTGAAAATCTGAAGGGGAAACTCCTGGACCAAGCTCAGGAAGTGAACAGACTCCGCTCTGAGTTGGTGAGCCCTTTGAAAATGAATGTACTTTTGATACCTGCATCTGTGCTTTTGATCCCTGTCTTTCCCCTGAGGAGATTGCTACACTCTTGCTTGAAGTTGTTGGTTCCTTAGCGGTTTACACGTGAGAGACTAAAACGAGGAGAGACAAGGAGGAAATCTATGCGCTGATGGGAATTGTGTTTCCTCTAATTTTTTATGGCCATGTGCGAAATGGCTTTTGTTATGTGCACCAATACGGAGGTGACGTACCGCACGGCAAAAGTCATTCTGCACGTGGACAGTGTGTGGTGAGGGGTGGGAACAGACGGGACCGCAGAGCTGGGGAAGATGTTTAGGGTGTGGGAGGAGGGAGTGGCAGGGGGTGCGTGCCCTGGGGAAGAGGTGTTTGGAGTGTAGGCTGCTCTGGGAAGAGAGGACTCACCCCAGTCCTCCCTCACCACCCAGGCTCGGGGCCAGATGAGAAGTGCCTTTCCATGGCCACAGCAGCTCCAGTGGGCATGGCTTGTTCCCCGCCGCAGCAGCTTTGGGGCAGTTCTGGTTTGGGGGCTGCTGAGCAGAGTTGCTTCTGTCCTGGATGCAGCAGCTCTGCCCTGGGGCCAGTGGGGAGAGGAACCTCTTCCCTGGCTCAGTGCTGGGCTTGGTCAGGAGAGATGCCTCTCCCTCAATCACAGCAGGTTTGGGGAGAGAATCTCTCCCCACTGCGCCCTGAGCCACCTCACAGGGGGTAATAGGAAGCTGAGAGGGAGCTTAGTTTAGAATCTTAAGGGTGATGTTTGAAATATCCTGGAGCCAGAGGTTTGACCTGGCTGGATTTTAAGCAACCCAAGGTTGATGTATTGAAGTCGACTAAGTTATAAGGGATTTTGTTCAATGCAGCCTTAAAACAGATGCCTTTGGCCCTCTTCTCCATAGCAGGAGTTTGCTCTGGAGTCCTGGGACAACGTTTCCCAGGCCACTATAACTGTGGTATTCACTGGCTGTGTGCTGTCTTCCACCCCAGAGATGGCTGCATTGCAGTGGCAGAGGCTGTGAAAAATGTTAGAATCCTCAATTATTAAAGACACGGTGCCAAATCCCATTCTTTCTTTTCTGGTCTTTTGCAAGTCACATGCATTGCAATAGGGATGTAATAGTGGAGTCGATGAACCAATAAGCAATTTGTTAATGTAGATCTAAGATTTCCCAGTGATAGATCACTGATGACCTTCCAGAACATCCAGTGCAGTAAAACTCAGACTTCATAAAAATAGGAAGGAGAGGGTATATCTACACAGTAATTAAATACCTGAGGGTGGCCCAAGTCAGCTGACTCAGACTTACAGGGCTTTGGCAATAAGGCTCTAAAACTGCAATGTGTTAGACAGGGATGTTGGATAGCATGTAATTGAATAATCGTGTAACAGCATCAAATTTTTGCGGTTACACAACTATTCAGTAGTCTTTGGGGGCGGACAGGGGAGCCCTGGTCACCCTGCACGGCTGCCTCTGATATAGAGGCAGCAGGGAAGAGTGGCAGGGGGCTCCTCAGGAGTGGGGTTGGAGCGCACTGGCTGCTGCCCCCACAGACTATAGAAAATCGAGTAACGGATAAGAATTCATGAGGTTACCCGACTGTTCAGTTAACTGCTATTTAACATCCCCACATTGCATGGGTGTTGGGAGAGAGCAGAATTTGCTCTCCTGAGTAAAAATAAAAGATTGGGTTAACACACGGTTTGTCCCCTTTCCTGCCCTCTTCAGGGTGGCACTGATCTGGAAAAGCATCGGGATCTGCTGGTTGCCGAGAACGAGCGTCTAAAACAAGAAATGAAGGCGTGTGAGGCAGAGCTGCAGAAGCTGAAGAAGCAGCACGGGAAATGCATCGACTGCGAACATATCCAGGTGACGAGGTCACAAGGGCGGGGTGAATGTTCCTTATGTGTTATGTGCCTGCTGACCCCATGAAACGTGACGTCCTTCCCTCCCTCTCCCGACGCGCTGTGCAGGAGAACGCCAGGCTGCAAGGAAGAGTAACCCAGCTGCAGCTGGAAGTGGAGGAGGCCAAAGGGAGGCTGTCCGAGCTAGACATGGAAGTGCAGCAGAAGACCCATCGCCTGGCGGAGGTAGAGCTGCGCTTGAAGGACTCTCTCGCAGAGAAGGCTGAGGAGGAGGAGCGGCTCAGCAGGCGGCTGCGTGACAGTCAGGAGACAATAGCCAGCCTGAAAGCCCAGCCCCAGCAGATTAAGGTGAGATGGAACAAATCATTTCTGAAGAGGAGTCATATTGAGGAGCCAATGGGCAGAATGGTTGAATATGCACCTTTACATTCCATGTAGTCCAAACCTGCTGGGCTTTCTCCCCTGGTTGCCCCTTGACATCCAGAGGGGTATAAAATGGGCCAGAGAACCTAGAAGGAGCTTTCCAGTTATTTGAATGTGGTTCATTGTTTGTCTGTAGCGTACTCAGAATGCCAGTGTCCGGGGTGCTTAGGGAAGGTGAAATCTGTCCTAGAAAGACAGGACAGTCCCAGCTTTATGAGCTGAAGATGTCACTGCCTGTTTAATGTTACGGTAAGTCTGTAATGGTGGCTGTGCACATCCACACCCAGCTCCATGTAACTCGTCTGTTTCCTCTGCTCTTTTTGGATCTGAAAATTCCTTGGAGAATGACTTTGATTCAGCCAATGCCATGTCTGTCCAGGCCTGAGAGTGGGGAATTTCTCAAATGTTTGTGTTGGGATTTCTTATTTTTTTGTAGTATATCATCAAAACGGTAGAAGTGGAGTCGTCCAAGACAAAGCAGGCTCTCCAGGAGACCCAGTCACGGAATCAGTACTTGCAGGAGCAAGTGGGGATGCAGAGGCAGGTGCTAAAGGAGATGGAGCAGCAGCTTCAGAAGTCTCAGAAGACTGCGGCCCAGCTCCAAGCCCAGGTATTCAGCATTGCCTAGGAACAGAGGAGAGAGAGACTGTGTGGGTGGAAAAGGAGAGAAAAACCACGACAAAGGAATATAGCAAACTGCATCCAGCCTCAGAGCTCAGGAATGTATAAGTCCCTGTGGATAGTTTTCTGGAAAAACCATTCAATGTGCAATGGCAGTCAAAAAAGCAAACCATGTTGGGAACCATTGAGAATGGGATGCAATATAACACTTTGTCATATGTCTCTATATTGCCACATGCATCTGACAAAGTGGGTCTTTGCCCACGAAAGCTTATGCTCCTACACTTCAGTTAGTCTATAAGGTGCCACAGGACTCCTCGTCGCTTTTATATGGAAGAGAGCCAGTTGAAAAAGGGAAAAACTCAATGAAAACTTGAAAGGCTTCAGGGTTAGTGAATTAGCTGTTCATTTCATTCCGTGCTGATCAAATCCCATTCTAACATTATGCTGGAGTCCAAAGGCTGACCCCAATACTGAGGAGCCCCTCATCAAGACCTCTGTAACCCTTGTAGGCTGAAATCAGCTGGCTGAATGAGGAGGAATCTTAACACAGATTATTCTGTTTGGCTGATATAGAATCATAGAATAATAGGACTGGAAGGGACCTCGAGTGGTCATCGAGTCCAGCCCCCCGCCCTCAAGGCAGGACCAAGCTCCACCTACACCATCCCTGACAGATGTCTGTCTAACCTGTTCTTAAATATCTCCAGAGAGGGAGATTCCACCACCTCCCTTGGCAATTTATTCCAATATTTGACCACCCTGACAGTTAGGAATTTTTTCCTAATGTCCAATCTAAACCTCCCCTGCTGCACTTTAAGCCCATTACTCCTTGTCCTGTCCTCAGAAACCAAGAGGAACAAATTTTCGCCTTCCTCCTTGTGACACCCTTTTAGATATTTGAAAAATATTTAGTTGGGATTGGTCCTGCCTAGAGCAGGGGGCTGGACTTGACCTTCTGAGGTCTCTTCCAGCTCTATGGTTCTATGATTCTAAATAACTTGAAGATGTTCCATTGTCTTGTTCAGTGGCCCTTTTTGAGTGACCGTTTCTGACTTACTCACCTAGCCTCATGGTACATGTTACAGAGTTTTAACAACTGGCAGTAGTTTACATGAAGCTTTAGATGGGTGGATGAGTGATTCACTCCTGCTTAGCTTGAGAGTGGTTTTTTCATGGGGTAATAACTCTAGTTTGGGTCCCTTCCTAGATTAAGATGTATGAGTCTGAGCTGGAGCAGGCTCACGGACAGATGCTGGAGGAGATGCAGAACATGGAAGATGACAAGAACCGGGCCATTGAAGAGGCATTTGCACGAGCCCAAGTAGAAATGAAAGCTGTGCATGAGAACCTGGCAGGTGAGGAAGTGGGGAAGCTGGTCCCCCGGGTGGGTGGGACAGGTATTGAGGGCAGTAGCTTTCCAGGGGGTGCTGCACATTCTCGTAGCACCAGGACTTCCTTAGGCGTTCATAGAGGAAAGCCGTGCTTGGATTTAGAAATGCCCAGCCGTATTAGCGAATCCTCCCTCACACCCCTGCCCTCCACTCTGGTGGTGGTTTGAGTGCAGACCTACACTTCCAAGTGAAGGCATCCACAGGGGAAGGGCTTTACCCCCTGCAAGGTAAGATCTTCCTGTGAGGATTATCAATGGCATTATGTTTGCTTGCAGGGGTCCGGACAAATCTTCTCACGCTCCAGCCAGCTCTCCGAACCCTCACCAATGATTACAACAGCCTGAAACGGCAGGTCCGAGACTTCCCCCTGCTGCTCCAGGAAGCTCTGCGGAATGCCAAGGCAGAAGTGAGCAAGGCAGAAGCTCCCTTTCACTCTAGCTTTGATTCTGCCGCCGGGGGATTTGCACAGGGAGCATGCAGGAGACTGATGCTCTCTGATGCTCTGCCACTGGCACATCCCCTGCGTTTCTCTTGTTAGATTCCTTTCTAGTGCCTGCACTGTGAAAGGTGCATGTGCATGCACGCTTGTGCACCTTTGATTCCCCCCGCCCCCCATAACTGGTATCTCCTCCTCTTCAGATTGGGCACGCCATTGAAGAGGTGAACAGCACCAATCAGGAGCTACTCAGAAAATACCGCAAGGAGCTGCAGCTTCGCAAAAAATGTCACAACGAATTGGTGCGGCTGAAAGGTGCGTGTCAGATTATTTAGACAGCCAGGCAGTGCGGGTCTGTTCGGGGCCGAATTCACTGCCACAGCAGTCCGAGCCCGCCCACAGTACACATCGTATGGGACTGAAGTTAGACATTCGTACAGGCAAGAGGCCAGGATCTGGGTGTCCTGCCATAAGGGCCATAACAAAAGCTTCGGCCCTGGAGCCGAAGGATTTCTTTTGCACTGTCACCTATAGTGGTCTGTCTCCGGGTCCCTGTGGTTTCACTGCGCTCTAATAGGGACATGATTTGTGGTCTGCTGCAGCCAACGATATCATGTGACTCCACCCCCATGCACGTTCCATATACTCTGTGCTAGGGATGTTAAATATCGATTAATTGAATAGTCGGGTAACCTCAAGAATTCATATCGGTTAGTCAATTTTGCTATAGTTCCTGGGGGGTGGGGCTGGCAGCCAGCGTGCTCCAGTTTCACTCCTGAGGAGCCCCCTGCCACTCCACGCTGCTGCCTCTGCATCAGAGGCAGCAGCATGCAGTGCCAGGCAGGAGCTGGCCTGCAAGAGGAGCCAGTTTAAAAACCAGCCCCCCTCACGGACCGGCTGCCTGTCACCCCACGCTGCTGCCTCTGATACAGAGACAGCAACGTGGGGTAGCTATAGCCCCTGCCTAGGGTGGGTCTGTGCTTCTGGACCTGGTGCAAGCAGGACTGAGCCGGGCTGCCTGCCCACCTGGCTCTCCTACACTTTAAATGCAGAGCCGCAGCAGGGGTAGGTCCCAGACCTGTTTCAAGCCAGGACTGAGCCGGGCTGATGGCCGGTCAGCTAAAGTATTTACTGGCAAGAGAGGGTGGAAGGGATGCGTGGAGTCTATAGCATTAACCTATAAGCTCCTGCATATCGGTTAATCGACTCCACTATTACACCCCTACTCTGTGCGGGCCTTTAGCAGTGCATCTGTCTTATGGGAGGTCTGTACACTCCCTGGGGGCCTCAGAAGTGTCACCCTGCATCTCTGCCTTTGGAATTTGGAGTTGAATAAGAAAATGAGGGAGGTGAAGTGGGTTGTGTGTAGCATCCTTGCTGGCTGATGCCTTTTGTAGAGACAAAAAGAGAATGGGGGGAAAGGCTGAGTGGGAGCCTGAGCTTGTCTCCGTGTGTCAGTCTGGATTTTTGTCTTTTTAAAGGAAATATCCGTGTGTTTGGCCGAGTCCGGCCAATAACAAAAGAGGACGGAGAAGGGCCTGAAGCAGCCAACTCCGTGACCTTTGACCCGGAGGATGATGCTATCTTGCATCTCATGCACAAAGGGAAACTGGTGTCATTTGAACTGGACAAGGTTTTCTCCCCAGAGGCAACCCAGCAAGACGTGAGTATAGCCCTGTGTGTCTGGCGTGGGCTTGCACAAGAGAAAGGTGTGCGTCGGTGTGAGCACAGACGTCATTATTTCACAAGGCTGCCGATCGTTCCCTGGTCACTGATTCTGTAGGGGGGGGATGGAGAGGAGAAGATAAAGCAACTTTTTTCTCCAAAGGAGCAATAAGCCGGCAGAATAGAACTCAAGTAGACCGAGAGCTGGATCTCTGCTCCTGCAGGTATGAATGTACCTGCTCTTCCAACATGCCATGATGCGTACAACATTCATGTACAAATGAGAGAGTCCAGCACAGCCAGGCCCTTCTGTGATTCTCACACAGATTACCCCTAGAAGAGGGAGCGGTTATGCTGGGGTTGCTCCCATTGTTCATTTTAATTTCCCCTTGGCAGGTGTTCCAGGAAGTGCAGGCTCTGATCACATCCTGTATTGATGGCTACAACGTCTGCATTTTTGCCTATGGCCAGACAGGTGCAGGCAAGACATACACTATGGAGGTAAATTTCCCCTTCTCCTCATTTCTCTCTATTCCTCCATCTTCCCTTTCAGTGTGTCTTGCTGCTTCGCTTCCTGTGTTCTACCATCAGTGGCATTTCTCTAGGAGGGTGGGGGCAGATTAGTCCCTACATGGCTGTCTGTAATGGACGTGGTCATGAGTGTAAATGTATAGATTTCCCCCTCTGTCACTGTGATCAAGAACGACATTGTTCCCAGAGACCCGACTCTCCATCTCCCAAGTCTGTAACAAGCCTCACAATGCTGACAGCAGAACCGTCTGAAGAATGGTAGAACCTGATGGTTTTGCCTCCTCCTGGCTGTCCCCCTTCTCTTTCCTGAGTGTGGGAACTGGATGTTGGTGATTCCGCAGTGAATCATGTATTCCTGTTCCAAGCGTTGTCGTGGTGTAACATCCTACTGGCTCCGTGGTAAGTCTTGTGTCAGTCCCTCTGTCACACCTTTTTCCACATTGATGTAACGTGAGATTTTTTTCCTTGCTCATCAGGGAACTCCTGAAAACCCAGGGATCAACCAGCGAGCTCTCCAGCTGCTCTTCTCCGAGGCGCAAAGGAAGGCGGCTGACTGGGACTACACTATCACTGTCAGCGTGGCAGAGATTTACAACGAGGCACTCAGGTAACGCAAGGGAGCCGGGGAGGAGTTCGAATCTGCAGCAAAGCTTGAACCCGGGATGCCTGTGTCCCCCTTCCTGGGCGATGTGGAGTGCGTGCACTGCATAGCCCTGCAAAGACTGTCCTACGGCTCCTCTAGGGCAAGGTGACTGCATACTGCCACCGGGCAGGGCTGTGAACAAATGACACATCTGAACCAGCCTGTCTATTTTCGTTGTGTTTACCAGGGAATTTACTTGTACTGCTTAAGTGGGGAAATGCCTAACGACCAAAAAGCAGGTTCACTTCCTATATCACCCCTCCCTTCCACCTCCTCCAGCTTGTCTAGCTACAGCTCTCGTCTCTGCTATGTACAGATACTTGAGCAGCATGTCTCTGCTTGCCTTCCAAATCTGAAACTACCAAACTAAGCCTTGGCTGTATGTTCCGGTTTTGGTCCCCTAGTTTTGGCTGACTCAGGGATATTTCTCAGCCTGGGGCTTTCAGAACTCCTGCCTGGAATTCTTCCCAAGCCTCGGGTTCCTAGAGTACTTTCTGTTTCTACGGTCTCTCGCTCGCACGGAGCCCTGCTAAGACAGCAGCCAACAATCAGATTCGTGCTTGTGCTCTCTCCCTCCCCATTTCCCACTAATGGAAGTGGAAATCCCAACAAGCATTAACTGGAAGCTTTTTGACATTAATGTTCTCTGCCTGTTTCATGCCTTTGGAACTTTGGTTGTTACATTTGGAAATTGTGAGTTACAGTTGCAGAGAATGAGAAGCATTTTCCTCTCCAAAATTCTTCTTTTCTCCTTCAGGAGATGGGTGGGCGGGTGGAGAAGGGTGAAAACAAAAACACTGTAAGAATGACTCAGTTATGCAGCAACGGGGTAGGCTGAATCTGAGACAGAAACTGTTGGTTGTTGAGATAAAAGCTGCAAACCTTGCATGAGTCGGATCAGGTGGCAGCAGGGGAGTGGAACTTCTGAATGTGGATCTGTTTGGGGCACTATGTGGATGGGTTATGTGACATGGCTGACAATAACACACACGTAGAAAACAGAAGAGTTGAGGCTCTGTAAATAGAATCATAGAATCATAGAATTATAGAACTGGAAGGGACCTCGAGAGGTCATCGAGTCCAGCCCCCCGCCCTCAAGGCAGGATCAAGCTCTGTCTACACCATCCCTGACAGATGTCTATCTAACCTGTTCTTAAATATCTCCAGAGAGGGAGATTCCACCACCTCCCTTGGCAATTTATTCCAATATTTGACCACCCTGACAGTTAGGAATTTTTTCCTAATGTCCAATCTAAACCTCCCCTGCTGCACTTTAAGCCCATTACTCCTTGTCCTGTCCTCAGAAACCAAGAGGAACAAATTTTCTCCTTCCTCCTTGTGACACCCTTTTAGATATTTGAAAACCGCTATCATGTCCCCCCTTAATCTTCTTTTTTCCAAACTAAACAAGCCCAGTTCATGAAGCCTGGCTTCATAGGTCATGTTCTCTAGACCTTTAATCATTCTTGTTGCTCTTCTCTGTACCCTTTCCAATTTCTCCACATCTTTCTTGAAATGTGGCGCCCAGAACTGGACACAGTACTCCAGCTGAGGCCTAACTAGTGCAGAGTAGAGCGGCAGAATGACTTCACGAGTTTTGCTTACAACACACCTGTTGATACAACCTAGAATCATATTTGCTTTTTTTGCAACAGCATCACACTGTTGACTCATATTCAACTTGTGGTCCACTATGACCCCTAGATCCCTTTCCGCCATGCTCCTTCCTAGACAGTCGCTTCCCATCTTGTATGTATGGAACTGATTGTTCCTTCCTAAGTGGAGCACTTTGCATTTCTCTTTATTAAACCTCATCCTGTTTACCTCTGACCATTTCTCTAACTTGCTAAGGTCATTTTGAATTATGTCCCTATCCTCCAAAGAAGTTGCAACCCCACCCAGTTTGGTATCATCTGCAAACTTAATAAGCGTACTCTCTATCCCAATATCTACATCATTGATGAAGATATTGAACAGTACGGGTCCCAAAACAGACCCTTGAGGAACTCCACTTGTTATCCCTTTCCAGCAGGATTTAGAACCGTTAACAACAACTCTCTGACTACGGTTATCCAGCCAATTATGCACCCACCTTATCGTGGCCCTATCTAAGTTATATTTGCCTAGTTTATCAATAAGAATATCATGCGAGACCGTATCAAATGCCTTACTAAAGTCTAGGTATATGACATCCACCGCTTCTCCCTTATCCACAAGGCTCGTTATCTTATCAAAGAAAGGTATCAGATTAGTTTGGCATGACTTGTTCTTCATAAACCCATGCTGGCTATTCCCTATCACTTTATTACCTTCCAAGTGTTTGCATATGATTTCCTTAATTACCTGCTCCATTATCTTCCCTGGGACAGACGTTAAACTGACCGGTCTGTAGTTTCCTGGGTTGTTCTTATTCCCCTTTTTATAGATGGTCACAATATTTGCCCTTTTCCAGTCTTCTGGAATCTCCCCTGTCTTCCATGATTTTTCAAAGATCATAGCTAAAGGCTCAGATACCTCCTCTATCAGCTCCTTGAGTATCCTGGGATGCATTTCATCAGGACCAGGTGACTTGCTGACATCTAACTTTCCTAAGTCATTTTTAACTTGTTCTTTGTGTATCCTATCTTTGAAACTTACCCTCTTTCTGCTTGTATTCACTATAAATAGGTGAGGAAGAATCCAGTGGGAAATGGTTCCTCTGAGAATTGTTTAAGTTTATATCTAGCTTAGTCTGTGCTTGTTCACTGAAAGCCAATTATGAGTTTTAGAGTCGGGGTAAATTTGCTTGACCCTGGTTTCCAGTGGCTGGAAGAGCTTGTCCTTGTGGTCGTAAGCCAGACCACTGGCAGGGCTGTAGGTCAGAGCAAAGCACAGGGACTAGACATGTGGCCTATAGGCTCCTAGCTGGGGAGATGAGTTCGGGGTGGTCAGACTGGGAATCGAAAATGACACATGGCTTTGAGGGGGGGGTCACCTTGTCTGTCTTTACAGGGACTTGCTTGGGAAGGAGCCGCAGGAGAAGCTGGACATCAAACTGTGCCCAGATGGCAGCGGGCAGCTGTATGTCCCCGGCCTGACTGAGTTCCAGGTGCACAGTGTGGAGGATGTGAACAAGGTAAAACCAGCCTGGGAGATGGAGAACCCCAGAAGGCAAGGGGAGAGGAGGGACCTAGTAGATGGGGTGAACCAGCTGGGGATCACCTACTGGAGCAGGGTGAACGTCCCTGTACGTTAGAGAGACTTACTTACATGCATCTGGCATGAACACACCAGATGCTGGAGCAGCGGTGGCAGCCTAGGGACAAGAGGGTGCAAATGCCTCATATCGCCACACATCTGAGAGAGACCGGGGGACTACAGGTCCCACAGTCGGTTTCTAGCAGAGTGCCCCAAGGATCAGTTCTAGGACCGGTTTTGTTCAACATCTTTATTAATGCCCTGGATGAGGGGATGGATCGCACCCTCAGCAAGTTTGCAGATGACACTAAGTTAGGGGGAGAGGTAGATACACTGGAGGGCAGGGAGAGGGTCCAGAGTGACCCAGACAGATTAGAGGATTGGGCCTAAAGAAATCTGATGAGGTTCAAAAAGGACAAGTGTAGAGTCCTGCACTTGGGATGGAAGAGGCCCAAATATTGTTACAGGCTGGGGACCAACCAGCTACGTAGCAGTCCTGCAGAAAAGGACCTGGGGATTCCAGTGGATGAGAAGCTGGAGATGTGTTAACAGTGCACCCTTGTAGCCAAGAAGGCGAATGGCATATTAGGGTGCATTAGGAGGAGCATTGCCAGCAGATCCAGAGATCTCATTATTCCACTTTATTCGGCTCTGGTGAGGCCACATCTGGAGTATTGTGATGTGGACACATTGGAGAGGGTCCAGCGGAGGGCAACCAAAATGATTAGGGGGCTGGACCGCATGACCTATGAGGGATTTGGGTTTGTTTAGTCTGCAGAAGAGAAGAGTGAGGGGGGATTTGATAGCAGCCTTCAACTCCCTGTAGGGAGGTTCCAAAGAGGCTGGAGAGAGGCTGTTCTCAGTAGTGACAGGTGGCAGAACAAGGAGCAATGGTTTCAAGTTACAGTGCGGGAGATCTAGGTTGGATATTAGGAAAAACTATTTCCCTAGGAGGGTGGGAAGCGCTGGGCTGGGTTCCCTAGGGAGGGGGTGGAATCTCCATCCCTAGAGGTGTTTAAGTCTTGGCTTGACAAAGCCCTGGCTGGGATGATTGAGTTGGGATTGGTCCTGCCTTGGGCAGGGGGCAGGACTTGATGACCTCCTGAGGTCTCTTCCAGCTCTATGATTCTATGATCCCAGTGCTCCTAGGATCACATGGGTAAGATTAACCTCTTGAAGGAGTCGGACTGAAAATGAGGTGCCCAACAGGAGCGGCCCAGGAAGCAGCTTGTAATGGGAGCTGCCTTTCTTCACATGCCTCAGATCTGCCGTACCTCCAGTTTTGTAAGTCAGCACTTCCTATAAGCAGGGCAGGTGACCTGAAGTAAGTGCCCCTCAGAACTAGATGTGACAGGGCAGAGCAGGGAAGAGAGGCCGGAATAGGGCTGTGAATATAATGTGACACATGCCATTTCAATCATAGGACCAGTTTGGGAGTCAGCAGCCCTTTGTGTGAGTCCTGAGGGTTTAAACATGAGATTCGGGGCCTGGACAGCTCTCTGGGAGGTAGTGGAATACCAGATCTGTCACCCACAGGTGCCTGGCTTCAACTCATTGTGCATCCAAGAACTGGACAGTGTCTTGTGTGACTTGAACAGCCAGGTCTCAGTTCAGTGTCTCCCCCCCCCCCCCCCACAGAAACCCACTGGCTGGGTTTGCAGGCTTGTGGGGAGTCTCTGAGAAGAACAGGCCGGGAGCCCATTGGCAAAGGAGGGATGCACTGGCCATAGATGGGAAGCTAGCACCGACCCTGCTCACACTGGACCTGCTCCGTGGCTACAGATGAACGTAGGGCTCCTGTCCATCTGATGTCTTTCAGAAGCGATTTCAGGTCAGACAGCTAAGGCCAGGGGTTGACAGGGATTTCCCTGTGGAAGGAAGAGGGTTAACAGCTGCTGTCAGCATCTGCACCCCCACACTTGTCAGAAAGCAGGGTGCACCGAGGATCAGACCCCTCCCCCATGCTTCCGTTTCCGAAAGTGATCAGCGTAGCTGGGATCGAGGAGGCTGCTGCCAGGCAACACAATGTAGTCCGAAAGCTGAAAGCTTTCTGCCTCTCTCCCAGGTATTTGAATTTGGGCACCTGAACCGAGTGACCGAATACACCAGCCTCAACGAGCACAGCTCACGGTCTCACGCGCTCCTCATCGTCACCGTACGAGGACTGGACTACAGCACAGGACTGAGGACCACAGGTTAGTGTCTCCTGGGAGGTGAAGGGGGGTGACTAGTGATCGGATCCACCCTGGGATGACACAGGCCTGGAGGTTTGGGTTCATCTGCTAAAGCAGGTAGCAAGTGAAGACAGAACTCGGTGCCGTTGGCTCAGCCCCTTGTGGATGCTTGTCTCTGACACAGAAAGAAACCCAGTTTAGCACGAGTGGGAGTGGGTCTGTGGGACTAGACTGCTCACACCATTGCAGGTCAGGGGACTGAGTTGTGTAGCCAGACTGAAGGAGACTGGCAACTCAACCTCTGTAGTTTCACCTGCTAAGATCAAGTGCTCAGATTTCATGGGTCAGGGCATTAGCTGATTGCTAAAAGGGGTGAGAAGGATATTTTAGCCCCATGCATTACACAATTGTAGAGTGGTTCTGTGGCAAGCATAGGCTAATATCCTTGGAGATAATACTCGGCTTGTACAGTCCCATCTGGGCCAGAGCTACTGAATTGCCATCCATTCTGAATGTAATGAAAATCCAAGCGGCAGGTTGATCGGTGGGACTCGACTCTCAATTCTCCACATGAATATACAGTTCCATGCGTGCGTAGGTCCTACGGGACAGGCTGGGGCTGTTTATGAATTGCTGTGCAGGCCCCATTGCGGCTTGCAGTTCCACGAGTCAAGCAGGCAGCTGCCTAGGCTTATTGAGTGTGTGTGTGTTTGTTTTGACTGATCCTAGGGAAGCTGAACTTGGTGGATTTGGCTGGCTCTGAACGAGTAGGCAAGTCTGGGGCAGAGGGCAGCAGGCTCCGGGAGGCCCAGCACATCAACAAGTCGCTGTCAGCGCTGGGAGACGTGATTTACGCTCTGCGCGCCCGCCAGGGCCACGTGCCGTTCCGCAACTCCAAACTGACCTACCTGCTCCAGGACTCTCTCAGCAGAGATAGCAAAACCCTCATGATGGTGCAGGTGGGTTCTGGCCCCAGCTGCGCAGAGCGGGTAAGGAGAGGTGGTTGACTAGATCAGGAAACTTTAAACTGACCGAAATCCAATTACAAGAGAAGTCCAGAACCTCCTGGTGCAAATCTGGCATTCTTAACCAAACCGACAACGCTTGTGGCCTTACACGGGTGCTTTGGTTTGGGCTGGTAGATACCATAAGGATTCACTTACGTTCTCCCCTGAAAATAGCACTCGGGGGTTCTACGTAGTGCCTGACTGATTTTAACCAGTAGCGCTGTTTAAAAGTGTATAGGCTTTTCCCTAACTGCCAGCGACTTGAGAGGTAACCTGCATCTCTTCCACCTTCTGCATCATCATTAGTAAGAAAGACCCTGCAGGTCACATAATGGCAGAGCGACACCTGAGCAGCTCCCTTGGCTTCATTTTTTTGCCTTTGGTGACACCTGCACAGACCTATGGCTGGCTGTGAATTTGCCAGTCGGGTGTAACGGACTAGAACTTGGTTAGCAGGGCTGTTCCAGATGTATAAGAAGGAAAAGAATTTCCCTTCCTCATGGCTGTGTTGGCTTCTGCAGGGATAATGGGAGTAAAGAACAATAAAATCTTGGTACCTTAAGTGAGCGAGGCTGACTCCATGACTCACGAGGAGTAGCTGAATAAGGAGGGGCCATTTTTACACAGTCCCTTTTTAGAGTAGAAACCAGACTTCTAAGAATAAGTTTGCAGTGCAGTAAATGATACTATAAAATGTGACCCGCTAGCTGGCTTATATGTCCTGTGGGCATTTTTCATAGCAGCTTCATTCAGTTGGTTTGGTTTGATTGGGGCAACACATGACACGCATTTATGTAGCTTCCTTTGACCAGACGCGCTGCCCGTCTCTTTTTGGGGAACACCCTCAGGGTTGCCCCTATGAAGAGCGGCACCCACCTCTGGAGACTGGAAAACCTAAAATCACGGAATATCCTTCTGGGATTAGCTCTTCCACTGGCATAAACTGGCATCGGTCCACTGAAGACAGTCGTCGGACTCCGTGTTGTGTGTGTGTGTGTGTGTGTGTGTGTGTCCGTCTACTGCCCCCTGCAGGAGCACAAACAAGCTCTGTCCCAGCCACCCAGGCACGTGAAAGTCCCACAGGGCATAATATGTTACAGTTTCTCCCTGTCCCAGGCTTTATTCTTGCATTCTCTCAGTGCTGCTATGGCATATCTGCACCTGGTTAGGGCTGTGCCGGGGCTAGAACGAGGAAGATGTCACCTTTTGTGTAACCGTCTGGAATTCCTCTCCCCTTTCCCAGATCATCTGCTTTTCTTACTCGCCTAGGCTTTGCAGAGTAGCTTGCTGGGCGGGACACGACAGGGTCAAGAGGGCAAGGTTCCAGGGCATTAGAAGGGCCAGTTTTCCTTGCGGTACTCCCATCTAGCTGAGAGCCTCCTCTTACAACCGCGCGGGGACAGGTCAGGCTGAGACATTTCCATCTTGGAGAGATGTACCCGCACTAACTTTGTGTGAATAGCGTGCAGCTGCAACAGTGCAACCCGCGGGAGGTCTGACCCCCCCCAACTACAGTCTGACTTAGGATGGGTGTAGGCAGTCGGCACATCAGGCATGCACATGTCTATTCAGGCTGGAAATTACAGCTCCTCCTCAGAGCAGACAGACTCCTGCCCAGAGGAGCACAGCATGCTGTCACAAAACCCCACCCGCGTCCGAGCCAAGAAGTGGGGCATCCGGTGAGGTTCAACCAGCCTTGCCAGCAGCTCTGTTTGTAGCGTGAGGTCTGCCCTTGAGGACATTGGAATGAGGAAAAGAATTGAGCTTCATATAGAACCAGCAAAACTCACCCATTTAATCAGGGGTAGCTGTCGGGGCTGCACACAAGTAAGAAGCAAAGTGAGGAGCCCCTGACTGAGGAGAAAGACCCTCCCCGCATTCCCCTTGCACACCAGAGCCTGGGGTTGCCCAGGTGTGTAGATTTTGTGTGCTCCAGCCCTGCAGGTAGGTGGCAGGGGGCTGGAGCACCAATGTGGGCTCCCCAATGTTGAGCCTCGGGGGCCAGATCCAGGCAAGCCAGGGGCCAGAGGCAGCCCCCGGGCCTGTGGTTCCCCACCCAATTTAAATCATTTCTCTCTGATAGGCCTATTCGAAGAGGCTGTAGGTAGCTCATTTTTGAAACTTGTAGTCTTGGCCTTCACGTCATCCTTTGGCAAGGAGTTCCACAGGTTGACTTTGCACTGTGTAGCTGGAGGTCTGCGAAATCTTGTACTAAACTATGGTTCTAAACAGTCACAAACTGTCCAGTCTAGGGGACATGGGCTTTTTGTGGTGGGTCTCCCCCCACGGACTTTTCTGAGGCTGGCACGATCAGATTCTAAATAGCCCCTCTCTAGTTACCCTCTCTAGCCCCTCAGTAGCTCGATTTTGTTTTTTATAAAATCCTTCCTGCAGTTTCAGTGCTCCCCCCGCCTCCCCCAACCAGGAATTTCACCAATAAATCACTAGAATGCCTGTGTCTCCACTATTCTGGTTTGGAAGAGCTACCAAATGCTTGCCACCTGCTGTAGCTTATTTCAGCTCTGATACAAAGAGTGTGTTAGTTACAGGACACACTTGTGACTGATTGTAAAGCACCACATGCATGCACAGTGCCATCATGGAACTGGTTTGGATTTATTGATCAGAGTGTCCTAGCCGCATTGAGATTGAGCGCTAGAACTTCGCTTCTCTCCAGCCTCACGCGTTAAGAGCGGTCTGACCGGGAACGTGGCTTTTCCTGTCCTGCTCCCCTCCTGCGGCCAGGGATCAGAGGCTTCTGGCAGTGAGCAGCGGGGGATGTGGGGAGGGAGGCGGGGAGCGGACAAGGCAATGAAGGCTGCATGTTTCTGTCTGGCTCCAGGTCTCCCCCGCTGAGAAGAACACAAGTGAGACTCTCTGTTCCCTAAAGTTTGCTGAGAGGGTTCGCTCGGTGGAACTGGGCCCTGGCTCCCGGAGATCAGATCTGGTGTCCTGGTCTAGTCAGGAGCACTTAGAGGTAACTCACCGGCCCTGCTGCACTTGTCCACTGTCTCTTTTGATGGGTGTGTTCACTTCTGTGCTGTGCTGTTCACATTCTGTGTGTCTGCAACACACTCTCCCTTCTTCCCCCCCAAACAGGCTTTGGCAGCCCCAGGGCCTGGCTTTCGGAACTCCCTCTGAGTAGACCTTTCAAAAGAGCTGCTGTTACAGCCTGCTCAGAACACAACAGCCCTTTCTCTGCCTGCCTCCAGCAATAGTGATCTTATTGTACTCGTCCTGCATTCTTTACGTGGCTGCCTGGAAGGCGGCACCCAGGCACGTGAAAGTCCCACAGGGCATAATATGTTACAGTTTCTCCCTGTCCCAGGCTTTATTCTTGCATTCTCTCAGTGCTGCTATGGCATATCTGCACCTGGTTAGGGCTGTGCCGGGGCTAGAACGAGGAAGATGTCACCTTTTGTGTAACCGTCTGGAATTCCTCTCCCCTTTCCCAGATCATCTGCTTTTCTTACTCGCCTAGGCTTTGCAGAGTAGCTTGCTGGGCGGGACACGACAGGGTCAAGAGGGCAAGGTTCCAGGGCATTAGAAGGGCCAGTTTTCCTTGCGGTACTCCCATCTAGCTGAGAGCCTCCTCTTACAACCGCGCGGGGACACGTCAGGCTGAGACATTTCCATCTTGGAGAGATGTACCCGCACTAACTTTGTGTGAATAGCGTGCAGCTGCAACAGCGCAACCCGCGGGAAGTCTGACCCCCCCCAACTACAGTCTGACTTAGGATGGGTGTAGGCAGTCAGCACATCAGGCATGCACATGTCTGTTCAGGCTGGAAATTACAGCTCCTCCTCAGAGCAGACAGACTCCTGCCCAGAGGAGCACAGCATGCTGTCACAAAACCCCACCCGCGTCCGAGCCAAGAAGTGGGGCATCCGGTGAGGTTCAACCAGCCTTGCCAGCAGCTCTGTTTGTAGCGTGAGGTCTGCCCTTGAGGACATTGGAATGAGGAAAAGAATTGAGCTTCATATAGAACCAGCAAAACTCACCCATTTAATCAGGGGTAGCTGTCGGGTAGGGAACCTTTTTTGGATCGGGAGCCACTGACCCACAAACAGAAAATCTGTCGGGCCACAAGGGGGCCAGAGGCAGCCCCCGGGCCTGTGGTTCCCCACCCAATTTAAATCATTTCTCTCTGATAGGCCTATTCGAAGAGGCTGTAGGTAGCTCATTTTTGAAACTTGTAGTCTTGGCCTTCACGTCATCCTTTGGCAAGGAGTTCCACAGGTTGACTTTGCACTGTGTGAAGAAAAACTTCCTTTTGTTTATTTTAAACCTGCTGCCCATTAATTTCATCCTTGTGTTATGAGAAGGTATAAATAGCACTTCCTTATTTACTTCCTCCGCACCAGTCATGATTTTATAGACCTCAATCCTACCCTCCCATAGCTGTCGCTTTTCCAAGCTGAAAAGTCTCAGTCTTATTAATCTCTCCTCATATGGAAGCTGTTCCATGCCCTTAATGATTTGCCCTTTTGCGAACCTTTTCAAAAAGGTGATCTACTTGTAGCTGGAGGTCTGCGAAATCTTGTACTAAACTATGGTTCTAAACAGTCACAAACTGTCCAGTCTAGGGGACATGGGCTTTTTGTGGTGGGTCTCCCCCCACGGACTTTTCTGAGGCTGGCACGATCAGATTCTAAATAGCCCCTCTCTAGTTACCCTCTCTAGCCCCTCAGTAGCTCGATTTTGTTTTTTATAAAATCCTTCCTGCAGTTTCAGTGCTCCCCCCGCCTCCCCCAACCAGGAATTTCACCAATAAATCACTAGAATGCCTGTGTCTCCACTATTCTGGTTTGGAAGAGCTACCAAATGCTTGCCACCTGCTGTAGCTTATTTCAGCTCTGATACAAAGAGTGTGTTAGTTACAGGACACACTTGTGACTGATTGTAAAGCACCACATGCATGCACAGTGCCATCATGGAACTGGTTTGGATTTATTGATCAGAGTGTCCTAGCCGCATTGAGATTGAGCGCTAGAACTTCGCTTCTCTCCAGCCTCACGCGTTAAGAGCGGTCTGACCGGGAACGTGGCTTTTCCTGTCCTGCTCCCCTCCTGCGGCCAGGGATCAGAGGCTTCTGGCAGTGAGCAGCGGGGGATGTGGGGAGGGAGGCGGGGAGCGGACAAGGCAATGAAGGCTGCATGTTTCTGTCTGGCTCCAGGTCTCCCCCGCTGAGAAGAACACAAGTGAGACTCTCTGTTCCCTAAAGTTTGCTGAGAGGGTTCGCTCGGTGGAACTGGGCCCTGGCTCCCGGAGATCAGATCTGGTGTCCTGGTCTAGTCAGGAGCACTTAGAGGTAACTCACCGGCCCTGCTGCACTTGTCCACTGTCTCTTTTGATGGGTGTGTTCACTTCTGTGCTGTGCTGTTCACATTCTGTGTGTCTGCAACACACTCTCCCTTCTTCCCCCCCAAACAGGCTTTGGCAGCCCCAGGGCCTGGCTTTCGGAACTCCCTCTGAGTAGACCTTTCAAAAGAGCTGCTGTTACAGCCTGCTCAGAACACAACAGCCCTTTCTCTGCCTGCCTCCAGCAATAGTGATCTTATTGTACTCGTCCTGCATTCTTTACGTGGCTGCCTGGAAGGCGGCAGATGGACGAGGCAAACCCAGTGTGGTCATTTGTCTTAAAAGCCCCTTAAGGTGCAAGCGTGGTGGCTGCTCCGGGCAGTCTGAACCCCGTCTCCTGCTCTCTCTAGAACGATTCACCAACGGCAGCACAGCCGGCCATTCGAACATATTCTGCTCCTACCTCTGGAACGCCCACGAGGCGAGCGAGTTCGTTCCGGAGGAAGCTCCAGACCTCAGGTAGGTGTATGGATCAGGTCTCCTTCAGCAGCTCGGGGCGTCCCGGTGTTCAGTAACACGTCCTGACAAGTGTGGATGTGAGAACAAACTCCATCCCCTTCTTTGCCCTCCGTCCAAACTCTGCTAATCCCCCTCCGCTCCCCTCCCCTCCCAACAAGAAGAGCCCTTGGCATTGGCACAAAAGGCCGACGAGGGCTCCTCTTACCATGCACTGGGCATTGGACGGTGCCCTGAGATTGTACCACTGGATGAAGCCGGCGCAAAGGCCAGGGAGAGGTTAGGAGCGGATGATGGTGTGACAAACTGAGAATAGCCCGTAACACCCTGGACAAGCCTTAGGGAATTAAGACAAACGAATGTATTTGCTCTGGTTCGCTGCCCTGGGAAGCCACCCCTCTGGAGAGGTGTTTATACCAGTATAAACTGGATTATCCAGGGGTTTGCAGACAAAAAAGAGATTTTTTTGGTTTAATAGCCTGGTTTTAAACTGCTTCCAGCAAGTGGGCGAGACCCCAGTTTACAGAGGGCCCCAAAGGACTGAGCCTACCCAGGCCCTGCAAGACTGTGTTTGAGCTGAAGCGGTGAGACCCGGGGAACCACAAGGAAATCCTTGGGAGGGGGTGTTGGAGGACTGCTCCTGCCAGAGCCCGTGCTAGGCTTGGGGCGATCTCTGGCCATTTGTGTGCGTTGGTTCGTTCTTTGTATTTAGTGTTTTCTGTGTGTTGCTTTTACCGTGAGAATACAATGGGCTTTGCTCACGAAGAGCCAGGTCCCTGCCCTCACTGTGAGCAGTCGCTGTTAACCATCTCCAGAGGGAAAGCCACAGGGAACGGGGCAGCCTGGAAGTACCCAGACGGCAGGGGGAGAGGTGGTTCTCTGCCTCAGAAAGGGGACAGGAAGCCTGGTGCCCTGGATTGGGACCGCCGCTGGCTCTGTTCTGTTCCATGCGCTCCGGGTGTGCGAAGAGCAACGCTGGGAGCTGACGTGTCCGCCTGTTCCAATGCGCTGTGCTCCAGGTCACGTTCCCCCGTGAGGCTCTTCCTGGACTAGTTTTCCAGCTAAATCCCAGGAAGGCCGTGACTCGGGGCAAGGGGATCGGTCACGGCCAGAGCTAGTGCAGCCAAGAACTAACTGCCCCTTTGCCCGGAATAAGCTCGTTAGCGAAACCCAACAGTCCAGAGACCCCTCATCCCACACGTGGGGACGCTGCCTGGTGGAGATTAGTCTCATCGGCGCTGCCTTTGCGGGGCCCCCGCGTGAGGGGGGTGGTTCTGACTGGTCCAGGGAAGGGGTTTTCAGCGCCGACGGCCCGGCTGTGGGAACAGTGACGACCACGTAGCATAAGGGAGCACAGGCAAAACGACCCCACCGGAGAGCAGGTTGTGCTAAGAAGCCTCAAGCAGTCCTGCTCTGACCGCACTGCCCACCCCCCTCCTCGCCGCACTGGGAGAAAAGGAGAGGGCGTCATCGCGGGAGCTGGGGACATGTGTAGACGCTCCAATGACCCTGTGGTGTTCACTTTGATTTCAGCTTGAAATTAGGGGAAGCCCCGTCCTCCAGGGGAGCATCTGCAGGTATGGAGGGCAGCCGGGTTTAAGCCTGTCGGTACGTGGTGAAGGGCTGTGCTTCAGCAAATGCTTACGGGAAAAGGTCGGGTGTGCTCAGCAGGTGGCAAAGCGGGGTCTGTGTCTCTGAAATGGTGTGGCTGGTCGGCCGTCTCTGCTGCAGGGCGCCTCTTTTGGACAATCCACGCACCAGGGTCACAGCTGGGGCCTTCTTCTGGTGGTGGCAAGGAGCTCCCCACCCCTAGAAGCACTGTCTGCCTAATTCCTGCCCCAGCTCCAGTGCACATTCCCCCTTTGCCACCGCGTTGACCAACTTCTCTGCTTGCAGGAAAGCTGAGGCCAGTCCCTGTGTGATGGACACACCGAGCAGGGAAACAGAATCTGCTCCAGAGCCAGGGAGCTGACGGGGAGAACTCCCGGCTGGCAAGAGCTGTGAAAACTGAAGGCTACTCTCCTCCCCACCCCTCCCAGGGCCGTGCCTGTCCCACGCTCAGAAGCGAGCAGGACGCTGTGGGACCCAAGAGCCAAAGGGGGGACTGGTTCTCTCCCGGCTCCCATGAAGTGCCAGACGCTCTTGGAAGCACGGACCCAGGTTGCTTCACTGACGATGGGAAACCCGATTGCCAGGTGCCAGCTCCCCCTCCCCCACATTCTGCACCAAGATTCCTGCCGAACTAGGCGGCTTTGTCAGCACAAGCTTGGCAGCGGGACACCTTCCTCCCTGGGCACTTGCACATTTTTCTCTTCCGTGGATTTGAAGGGAGAGGAGAGCGACCGGGGGCTGCTCCCTCATCACTGCCGCGCTTTGAACGACAAGCGTCGTTACCGAGCCGTGGGTGTAAAACCTACCCACCCGCCCGGTGCGTCTGCGCGTGGCCAGGCCTGAGCGTGGCTCCCAGGATGCTGCCGGCTGAGGGCTGTGAATGGGAAGATCGCTGGCGTACAGGCCTCTGGCTTCATTTCCTCATGGATGATTGGGGTGAAGCTTGTGTGGGAGGCAGCTGGTTGAGGACAACCTGACTGGAAATAATTTTCTGCATCTGGCCTCCTCGTTGGCCCTGGTTCAAATTTCATGCGCCATTCATGCTATTCCAGGCTGCTGCTGCCTGGCGCACGGCCCGAAGGGTGAATTTCAGAGGTTAGGGCGTGGGCCTCTCATTCTTGGATTTAAAACAGTATTTGCAGAGGGGCCATAATGTGCTTTGCTAAAGCTCACAATCCATTCCCTTTGACGTGGTCTTCCACTCCCTGCCACATCTGCAACCCGTCTTCTTCGCCCACTGTCCCTGAAAACACAGGCAGCTCCTTCTGAACACCCCGTGCACTGCCTCCGGCTGTCTTCCCCCACCCGTCAGCGTGGAGATTGGAGAAGGCAACAAAGCAAAGCATGTTTGCCAGTCATTAGGGTACAGGTTGAGCTGTTAGTCCATGAGCGAAGCTTTTCCAAAGAGCAGGCACTCTGCCATGCTGAGGCCTGCAACCTTTGCTTATAAAAGCAGCAACCAGCCCCCCCTAAAACCAGGTGAACTGTCTGCCTTAAACCAAGGACCTCCTCAAAGCCAGCCAGCGCTCCTAGGAGCCAGCTCTTCAAGTGGCTTTCCTACCTTTGTGCATCTGGCAGGCGAGGGGTAGAAAGGACCCCATCAGAGCACAGAAAAGCAACTACTGCCGTTAAACTGGTGTTTTCCTTGTGGCTGGGACCCAGGCTGCTAGCTATCTAGCGGCCGTAACAGGGTACAAGGAACTGTAAAACTGGAATGGCCAGGTGGCAATGGACTAGTGGAGCCGATGTGCTTGCCAAACACCAATGGGTCTAGAAAACCTTTCCCCCCTCCCTTTCCAGGATCTGGCTGCCCCTCCTGCGGCAGAAAAGTATTACCCCAACTTCTCCCCTGTGGGAGCAGGGCAGCTGCTATTTATTTTGATTGCTTGTGTTGTTCAGCAAAGATGGAGTCCTGCTCCCATTCACCCCAGGTGTGCTGCAATCCTGGAGAAGGCCCTCTCTCACCATCCCTCTATTTTCCACCCCCAAGTTGCAATCAGTACTTGACATTGAGCCGTGCAAAAGCACCGGTTACTGTGCCAGTGTAGTAAGGCTGCTGCTGCTCCTGTCGAGTGGTGATCAAATGTTCAAACGTTTCACCGGAAGCTAAGTGTAAAGCTATTTAAAAACCTTTTATCTTTCTAACCAGATCAGTGTGTTCGTTCATGGAAGTGTCTGAAATGCTTATTGTCTCTTAACAGTATCTGATGGAAAAGAAACAAGCAAAACACTTTGGTTGGTATCGTGAAGTACGGCTGTTGTCTGACGTGGGGGAGGAGGGGTGCATGGAGTTCAAGAGTGTTCTTTAGAGCAGCTGTCCACATCCACCCAACGGGGTGGGGCCTGCATTTGTCAATCTTCCTTGTATTATAAATATGGGATTGATCTTCTGCACTGAGTTCTCCTTTCCACCACGGCTCGTTCAACACTTGTTCTTGCGCTGTGGAGTCTATGTAAAAAAATCTAGTCTTATAAGATTAGATGTTTTTATGTATTTTAATAAAAAGATTCTGTTTTGTAACAAAACTTATTTTAAATAAATTGGTTAAGGCAACTGCTTGGCTGCAGCTAGTTTATGATCTCGCTCGTGCTGGCTTCAGCAAGAGCTTAAAATTCTTTCCTCTCCCATGTTGGCATTCCCATAATCTGCCTGTGCCGTCCTCCCCCAAATTAGGACCACAAGCAGGTTGCTGTTTCACCCTGGCAGGAAGCTGAAGGGCAGTACTTAATACAGGTACAGGGTCACGTTGGTTGCAGAGGCAAGAAAAGCCCTGCAGGAGGCAGAAGGAAAGAATGGCATTACAGGTGCCTAGGTCAGCTGTTTGGGGAGGAAGAGGAGTTGGGCAAGGATGTGCTAGGGCTGGTTCCTTACTTCATGAGAGATTCAATGCTGGGCAAGAATCTGTCCCTCTCCTCATCTTAAGATCCCATTCCAGCAACATGCTAACCCAGAACACAGCGAGCCAGGTAAGAGGAGTTGTGGGCCACACATCCAGTATCTGGAGTCCAGCTCACAGCATCCCTCCCCATCAAGCAGGCAGGACGTAGCCAGCTAAGACCATCGCCGCCCAGAAGAGCAAAAGGACCAATCAATCAACACAGGGCAAGAGCACCCTCCTGCCCCATAGCCCCCAAATAGTCGGCCGCTGTTTTGGCAGAAAGCAGCCCTGGAGTGAGATCAGCTAAGAGAACGCAACTGGTGCAAGCCAGGAACTCCTGCTACCCAGAAATCATCAAAAAGGGACCCTTTTGTAACGAACTAGCACAGCAGCCTGCCTGGCTGCCCCATAAACTAGCCAGCACACCCAACCACAATTTCACACACTGCCACAGATGAGCAATACTACACTGTAAATAAAGTGCACCTCTACATCAGTGTGGTGACGAGTGACTTAGTTAAGGGTGAAGCTAACTTGCCTATTTTTATTTAGCTTCATTTGTCCCAAACACTCCTTTGAACACTACCTGAATCAAAGCCCTGAAATGGCAGACCAGCCCTTATGCAGTCAGCAAAACGTGTATGGACAGTTCAGGTTAAATCAGAGGAGGGGGTCTGCTTCAGACTGA